TAAAGATATTTTAAAGAGTTTTTAGGGATGTATGTTTAGATCTTGGAATATAACTCTGAATTCAAACTAGTACCTACAAGTTGGAGAATTTAAGCAGGTATTAGTCTGGCTTCAGCTGCTAATATCTGTGTAGTAATCTGGTAAGGCTCTAAGCTGGGCTTAACAATAAGAGAGCTAGCCACCATCCCTCCTCTCAAATAACTCAGCATTGCCTCTCTAACCTGAGGTGTCCCTCTGATGTTCTTGTTTCTAATCTTGTCCATCCTGGTAACTCCCAATGAAATCTCTTTCTTGATGATCCACATGTTTGAGTTGGCAAAGATTTTATGCCGGATGCCCTTCCTGACGCAATCCTCTCCACTTATTCAGGCTTGGGACCGGCTACAGGAGTACCCTCGATTGTGCGAGTGCACTCCTAGTAAACAGCCTCACCCTCTCCAAAGCTTCTTGTGCCTTAAAAGTCACTGAAATGAAAATAAGAAAAAGTTGTTTTACTGTGTTAATTTGTGATGTTCGTGATCATGCTGTTTTGCTAGGATAAGAACTATTCTGCTTTCCTGTTTCCAGTATTTACTATGGCTAATCTCCTTGCCTGCTGGTAGATGTGATGTCAATATACTGTACTCACCCAACGTTCAGCGACAAAATAAATAAAATAAACTCTTTGGCCACTAAAACCTTTTCAAATGCAAACCTAGCATATTTACCACAGAGTACTTTTCAATGACTTGCTCATCACCACATCTCAGTGAAAGCAGTACTGACTGTAGCATCTCGGGCATCATTTATGCAAAATTCTACTGTGCATAGCACAGCATCACTGATAGCACATTACTGAGCCTTTATATGTGTGTGCGTGCACCTCAGCCATTCTTACTGTAGCTGTCATCAGTCTGTCAAGGTAATGAACCCTACTTTACTGCTGCCTCCAACAGCTCTTTAAGGCATACTTCACACCCCTGAAGAAATACACTCAGGTATTAGCTGCTCTGCCTGCATTCTCTGGTAGCTGATGGGTGGGCAGGGATGTTATTAGGAGCATTCATCTACAAGACTCCCTAAGCAATACTATACAGAAACTGACCACAAGACAACCCTATCATCCTCAAAGATTACCTGTCTCCTGCACTGTATATGAATGTTTTATCATAAAAGCTTTCTCTTTTTTGCTAAGTGCCTCCTTGAGTGTTTGCTTTTAACTTTTGATTACTTTGTCTTGTTTGCGTAGAAGAAAAAAGAAAAAGATAAAGAAAGCAAAGGCCCCGCCTATTTGAATATAATGGACTTAACGGGAAAGGTAGCCTCTCCTGCTTCACTGAGAGGATATATAGCAGGGGTTTAATCTTACTCAGAGGGTGTGAAAGCTTGGACAGTGCAGCAATATCAGTGCCTCAGAGTCTGTTGAATTTCTGCCTTGACATTGTCAAAGTGAGCCAAGCAGGTGAGGAGAGAAAGGCAGAAAACAGACATGACACAATCATATAAATAAAACAGTGTGGCAGGCTTTGTATGGGATCCACATGTTTCCATCTGTCAGGAAATATAGGATGTCATGCATTACAGTGTAAAAAGACTCATTTACAACCATTGAAAGCAATCCATCTCTGCTTTTGATGTGGCCCATCACATCTTGTTTGGCTTTATACATATATATATATATAAATATACATGTGTGTGTGTGTGTGTGTGTGTGTGCGTGTGTGTGTGTGTGTGTGTGTGTGTGTGTGTGTGTGTGTATGATAGGCAAGTTTCTCTTTTATGAAGTCTTGAGTCGTTTAGAAGAAAAAATGTTTTTCTCTTTTTTGGTCTAGACGTTGAGGTTTCCAACCCTTATCCAATCCCCTCCTCCCTTTTCCTCCTGCTAGGTTTTACCAGACGTCGCGTTGTGAGAGGGGAATGGTCGATTGCATAACGTCAGGCGAGACTTGATCGTTCCTGGCCTTCTCACAAAATTCAATCATTCTCTGCATACTCCAATCCCATGACGGCCCATTAAAGAGCAGCGCGGGCTAGGATTTCCCCTCATGTGTTTTAAATTTAAATTACTGTCACAAAGTCTGCCATATGCAAGAATCGAGGAAGACAAGGAGCTTGGGGGAAACTGAGATATCACAATATTTAAAGGAAAGAGAGAGAGAGAGAGACGAAGATAAGAAAGGCTGCACTCTTACACTTTTGCTTATTATGTTGCCTAAATCATGCTTCCCCCTTCTCACCCCACCCACAGTCATATAGAGCAGGCTTTCTGATCTGAAGTCTTATCTTAATCTCAATGCATTGTTCTTTGGCTCATTTGGATCATTACACAGTTTCAGAAAAAGTGCATCAAAAAATGCTTCTCCGTTTTCAGACAGTAAGCTGTTGTTGAGATGATTCCAAACCGTTGTGCAGCTTTTAAACTCTGCACGCCATAAGTCACAGAAACTACAGGAAGCGATAAGGAGAGCAGGTGAAGTATGAGACAGCAGGAGATGATGACCCCAGATGTTCTCCGGAGAGCCACTGGGATCTGAATCAGCCTCTGACTGGCCATGAGTTCCTCATTCCTGTTTGTCTATGTGGAATAGAGGAAGGACAAACACACGTGTGCTATGCACACGCAAAACAACGCACGCACACACATTCTCGCATCCACCTACATGCATAAGACATTCTCTCCCGATTTAATGTGACGAGCATATGATGCAGCTTGACTCTAATAAGCTGGGGGAGATGCATACTGCTGATGTTGATTCATATATATATATA